TCAACTCTAATGGAAAAGGTTTTCACAAGTTTAGCACTGTTTATGAGAATTTGTGACCATTGTTCCAGAAGTGCATTTGTGAGGTCAGACACTGATGTTGGACATGAAGTGCTGGTAAAGTTTGAGGCCAATCAAGTTCTTCTACACCAACTTAACTCATCCATGTCTTTATGGACTGTGTGCACTAGTGTGCAGTCATGTTGGAACAGGAATAGGCCATCTCCAAACTGTTCCCATAAAGTTGGGAGCATGAAATTTTTAAAAATGTCTTTTTATACTAAAGTGTTAACAGTTTCTTTCACTGGAACTAATGGACTCATGAAAAACAACCCCACATCATAATTCCCCTCCAACGAATTTCACATTCGGCACAGTGCGGTACAATTCTGGCAACCACCAACCCTAGACTTGTCCATTGGATTGCCAAACAGGGAAGTGTGATTTGTCACTCCATGTCCAGCTTAATGCTTTACAGCGCTGTCTCCAATAATTTACATTGTGCTTGGTGATGTAAAGCTTGGGTGAAGCTGTTTGACCATAGAAACCCATCCCATGAAGTAGGGGTATATGGTAGAAACGATATGAATTTGGCCAATTGTAGAGATTTTGACTACACCGCTCTACCGCGATAGCGCATGTTGATGGTGTCATCAAGCTGCGCCTGTTTTGGTCGAAAGCATTGCAGCGGCTGCAAGCAATATTATCTGCAAATTACAAAAGTCACTGCTGTTTAGTTTTCTGTCTTCGTTTATGTTGGAAGTGATAGCAGAGCTCTCCCCCCCCCCCCCCCCCCCCCAGAAACCTCCCTGTCAGAATATGCTATAGCATGTTTATGTGGAAACTAGCGAGTAGGGGTGGGTGGTATAAACGGTATACGGTAGAAACAATAGAAATTTGGCCAACGGTAGAGATTTTTACTATACCACTCTACCACAATAGCGCATGTTGATGGTGTCATCAAGCCGCACCTGTTTTGGTCGAAAGCATTGCAGCGGCTGAATACAACATCTGCAAATTATGCCGGGCGACAGAAATAGCAAAGAGACGAAGTAGGGCTGTTCGATATAACGATATATATCGGATGACGATATAAAAACGTCTATCGTTTCATTTTAGCTATTGTTTGTTTCGTGGTGTCGCAAAATAAACTGTTTACGGCAATATTTTTTCATTGTTTTGATGGTCACTGTAGTGGTTATATTAATTTCTTAAAATTCTCTCTTTCTCTTATATTTAATATAACCACACTACGGACATACAAGCACCTGTTTTTATGTGTTGTGGTTAGCAACAACGACAGTAAAACCATCGCGTGTCCGCTTGCTTATGTTCCACATAAACCTTTCACAATAAAGCCCAAGATCCTGTTGAGACTTTTCAAAATAAACTGAATCACGTGAAAGAGCAGATTATTTACGGATGAGAAGCAAAAAAGAGCCGCCAGGTGCTAAAAAATAAACCTTAGACTCAAACGTTAGAACAGGCTTTTCCCCGCAGCACGCCGTGTAATAAATACTCACAAAGAAAACGGTGGCCTTTACAACTTACGTCTAAAAATGTATAGTTTCATGCATCGGTTAAAACACTTGACACATGACGTGCAGCTGGAAACACTTCCCGCAAGACGAGCTGCCCAAGATTCACAGAATTTACAGAAAATTTTACATTTTTGTGATTTTATATCGTTATCTGGACGATATAATTCTTATATCGGGATATGAGATTTTGGTCATATCGCACAGCCCTAAGACGAAGCACTTTTGGAATATGGGGAAAGACAAAAACTGTGCTTCCTCCACTTCCATACCATTGATTCATTAATGCTGAATTCTCTCGCAGCTGCTCTATTCCCATGTTGTTGCAGTTTATTAATGACTAACCTCATATTGTGGATGGATTTTCTCAGTTGTTCTCCTGACTGAAATTTGGTCCGTTTACAACATCCTGCCATGCGATTGCATTTGTTACCTTACCACCAGAAACCCTCACATTAACTTTTATCGAGTGGAAAAAAGTTAATGTTCATCTTTCAGCTTCACGATGCTAATGTTATGCTAACGTAGATGTTTTGCTAGCGATCACGTAGGAGATCATTATATACCAGCTAGTCCAACTTCAGTAACCCTACAAACGTCACTGCTGTTTAGTTTTCTGTCTTCATTTATGTTGGAAGTGATAGCAGAGCTGTACATTTTAATTTTTTCAGAAACCTCTCAGTCATGACATGGCATATCGTGTTTAGTTGGTAAATAGCGAGCTAACTTCCTGCTAACTTCTAACTTTAAATTTAATAAATTCTGTTTTCATGGATGCCTGGATGTTAAACTTAATTGTTACACCTGGTAAAGCAGCAACGCTGATGATTTTATTAAGGATGAAAGAATTTAGACAGTTTTTAACTCTCAGTGATGCAGCAGTGTTCGTTTTGACTTTGGGACCTGACGTGGACGGCATTTTGGACCCAGATTAGTGCGCAGGGCTCCTGACTACGGCAGCCATAATGCTCCGGCAATCCATCAAGCGGTGCGCCTTCATAGCTTACCAAAGTCATACTAAAAAATTTTTGACAGATATCTGCGCGCTGTGTACCACATAATATCGGTTCGAGGTCAGTAAGCACAACCAGAAGTCATACATAAGGCACACTGTCGATTTTTGAGAAAATTAAAAGATGATAAGTGTGCCTTATAGTGTGTAAAATACGTTATACAGAAGAAAAGAATATATCGCTATATAATGATACACAAAATTCGCGGTTCGGTTCGATACTTTGGTGTCACGGTTTTGGTATTTTTTTTTCGATACAAAAAAATGTTCATGCCTTTTTTAATTTGTCATTTATTAAAATTATAAATATATATTTTAACTCAAAAGTACAGTTTTTAAATTTAATGTTGCTGAAACAACAAAGTAATAAAAAAATGAATCTATCTGATCGAGAAATCACTCATCTTTGGAAAAGAGAGTTTATTACAGAGAAATGGCTCTTTCCAAAATAAAAGCTATACTATACGCTTCTTCTGGGCTATATTCTCAGCAGCATATTAAACATATCAGGTCCCCATAAGGAGAATCATGTGCTAACTTGGTGCATGGTGCAACTTCAGTGGTGTGGAACTGGTTTGGCTTTCGTCCGTCAGATACACACCAAAGTGCGTGCAACCAGACCGTCGTTATTACTGATCCGATCCAAAAATCTGTCAAAAAATGTTTAGTACGACTTTGATAAGCTATGATATGCTATATATAAGCCGCACCGCTTGATGGATTGTCGGGGAATTACGGCTACCGTAGTCAGGAGCCTTGTGGAGTGATGCGTACTGTGGCTCAACATAATGTTACCGTATTGTGTGTGTATAACCTCTTTAAGTTTTGTGGATATTATACATGGTTATGCTCAGGATATGTTGGCCAATTTCCACTGGAAATGCCTTTTGGTTAAACTGTCAGCAAAGAATTTGCATTTGCACTGTTAAATTTTTATATAACTTTAATGCACATAAAAACAGCTGCGTGTTTAAGTGAAAATACATTGATGGATTTTTTTTTCTTTTTTGCACTAATGAAGTTGTGGAGTTGTAAAGTATTTGTATTTGTCTTGCGTCAATTATACTGTCAGTTATATTGTTATCGCAAATTTTCAAATATATATTGTGATAAATATTTTTGGCCATATTGCTCTGCCCTATTTGGGATTAATAGCCCTTTTCACCTAGTACCTATTCGACTGACTCTACTGGGTTTCTGTCATCTGAGAGCGAGACGCATGACGAAAGCGCTACTGACTTATGAACTCGTGGCTAAAAAAAAAAAATAGTACCTCGCTTATTTGGAGGTACTTTGGATTTAATAAACACGACCTTTACCAAACACAGGTACTCTGCAAAACTTGCCGGACACTCGTGGCAACCACCAGAGGAAACACAACTAATCTCCACCATCATCTTCAATACAACCACAGAGAACTGTTTGAAGAGTTCCAGAAAGACAGGGCTAGCCAAACAAAGGTTGCTAATGTTAAGACAAAGAGCACCGCAGTCCAACAGCCGTCTCTGTATCAGAGTTTTTCAAGTGGAACTCCTTATGAGAAAACGTCGAAGCGGTACAAAGAAATAACAGAGGCCATTACACATTTTTTTGGCTAAAGACATGATGCCTATAAATACAGTTAGCAGGGAGGGCTTCACCAGTTCGCCATTCCACAAATGTACGAAACATGCCGCAAGACCATGATGTTTGAACTAAGCCAAGCTGAAAACTACGCAAGCGCTACAGACCTATGGTCAAGTCGCACAACGGAACCATATATGAGTTTCACAGTGCACTTCCTCACCGAAGACTTTGAACTGAAAACATGGTGTCTAGAGACTGTGTATTTTCTAGACATAACTACTTGGTGAGTGGTAAAATGATGAACAACTGCACTGCACTGCACATTTGCAGTATAATTTAAGTTATGTTTATTTAAAACTAATTATAGAGATCGGGAAGGATGTCTTTCAGAATTCAAGCCTCAGAAAATCTTTTATGGGGGCAATGTTTCAATGTTAAAGTGCACTTTGTTGTTACACTGCTAATACAGCAGCTTTCTTTAAATAAAACTGTTGCAGTAAAACGGAAATTATGTATTTATTTATTTTGCTATTTATTTTATCAGAAGTCATATTGTTATCACAATATTGATCACAGTTATCGCACATCGCAGGTAATCCACCTGTTGATGTCATGTTCTCTCTTAGGGTTTGGCCAAAGCCATTTGACTAATTAATCACTTCTGTTTGTGTTTACTAGCTCCTTTAACCTTGAACTGAAACAGGCTAGCGTATGTTATCTTAACCAGATACCTTAAACCTTAAGCCAGGTTTCTTTGATCATTAATTTTCTGTTCCAATCATTTTTTGTCAGCTTTCCCACCTTGCCCCTGGTGGCCCCTCCCCCCATCCTCAGGCAAAATCCCCCCAACCCCATTCCCTTGTGGGATCTACCCCCTCACCCCTACCTCCCTCCCCCACCCCCTCTTCCTCCCCCCCAGCCTCCATCCCTCTGGCTGTCATCCGCTGCAGTAAGATTTCCCCATCATATCCGCCAAGCTGTCGGACATGTCAGGACCCGTGCCAAGCCGGGCCCGAGTGTACACAGAGGTCAACACTCACCGGCCAAGGGAGTACTGGGACTATGAGTCCCATGTGGTTGAATGGGGGTAAATATTTTGACTTCTAGACAAATTTACACATGCTAGTTGAGAAATGTTCGTAACTGATATTTGGTTGCAAAATTACTGTATTTCACAGAAACCAGGATGATTTTCAGTTAGTGCGGAAGTTAGGACGTGGCAAGTACAGTGAAGTCTTTGAGGCAATCAACATCACCAATAACGAGAAGGTTGTGGTGAAGATACTCAAGGTAAAGCTGTACAAAGGCTTACTTTTATATCTCATGAAGTCATTATGCATCCTAACTCTTTTTCTTCGTTTATCCTTTAGCCTGTAAAGAAAAAGAAAATAAAGCGTGAAATTAAGATTCTGGAGAACCTGCGTGGAGGTCCTAACATAATCTCTCTAATTGATATAGTGAAAGACCCTGTAGTAAGTATCATAGTTATTAATGAAGAACATTTAAGGTCTTGTTCACAAGTACAGCAGAAATTATATTTTATTTGCGTTTTCTTTTTTCTGATTACATAATGTGTTATTCAGAAAAAAGATGCATTAAATTTTGGGATGGTGTCATTGTACCAATAGCACATTGAACCTACCACTTGTGCCAGCTTATTGGTTACACTTGGGAAATTTGTGTCTGTAAGTACTTAAATAACCACGGCTAGATAGATACATGTAAGCAGTTTTATAGTAATAAAATGTAGTGAGGGCTCTGTCCAAGCAGTGGAACAACACATTGTGTCTGAGCCATCATGGTCATTCAAGATTTAAACAAATACAGATTAAGATTTCTGATTTAGAATTTTAGAAGTCAAGAGCAGAAGTACCCTGTTTATGAAATATCTACCCTATTGTAACATGTGGTTTCTGAGTACCTATTTTATTTATTTTTGGACAAACCTTCTGCAACCAGTTAAAAAGAAATGTGTCCAAAAAGCAGAGGGTAGAAATCTCCAGAACTCATCTCTCTGGGTGAGAGTGGAGAATATCTTTCATGGTTATTTCTACTTAAATAGAAACTGATTTTAATAGAGCATCAAAGATTTAATAGTGAAAGTTGGTAGCTCTGATTCACACTGTGATTAGCATTATTTGTGGATATGGTTGTGCAGCCTATGGTAAGAGAGACCACAGTTTGATTAGACTTTTGATGTTTTATATTAAAACAAAATGTAAGGCTCACAGTGTGGCTGTCTGCTTGGCTTGTACAGAGATAGATTTAGTGCTTTTTCCTTGTTTCTTCTTCTTCTTCTTCTTCTTCTTCTTCTTCTTCTTCTTCTTCTTCTTCTTCTTCTTCTTCTTCTTCTTCTTCTTCTTCTTCTTCTTCTTCT